ACCTTGTGGAACTTTAATGATTTACAGTGCAATATATAGAAGAAGCTAATGAGGAACTATAATAAGGGTTCTACACAGAGGAGTTAGAATTATTATCAGCTAATGGCTGGCACTTAAACAACAACCTAGTAGTGAGTAAAGTCCAACAACAGCAACAAGTGAGGTTTGTGGGTTGGTTGTACGCTGATCTTGTCCCTACCTGCAAAAAGTAAAGTCCCTCTTCCCGAAAGACCATGGGCAGATTCACGCGTTGTCTATTGAGTTTGAACAGGCTGCGAAGACTTATACTCCAGCATCTCCGTCTTGTATCTCTCCTTATCTTTCATACCCTTTTCCTGATAAACCTAAGAGAAAGAGGATATAATTTAGAGTCATGCTATAACACCACCAAGGTTGACACCAATAGTGTCTCACAGAATCACAAACAATAATTTCTCATGAGTCATGAGAGAAACCCGCCAGTTTGATGCCAAGAGTTTGACACCAAGTGTTTCGCAAGGGGTGCTTCCATGATCCTAAGGTCCACATGACCTTCTCAAAAATTTCATGGTCCGACATGAGGATCTTTTATTTTTTTCAAAGAGCCCAATTCATCCAAAGTATTTATATACTAGGGTCCATAAAATGAGGGTAGACCTTAAGAACACAGAAGTATTTGCCGTGTTTCACACACATATACATGTAGTCATTGTCTATGACACGCATACAACCATTAACTATGCATGTCTATGAAACACTTGGTGTCAAACCTGGTGGGTTTCTAGTATCTTTTATTTCAAATTGACGATTACTATCCGTGCGAAAAATAGCCTGATGGTGTCAAACTTGGGGTTATTGTAGCATTATTGGAGAATTTATGACCATATTTCTCATCAAATTCACGCAGAAAAAGAGGAAAGTTTATGAAATGAAAGCAGGCAAATCCTACCTGTTTCTCAGCCTCTGTGAGCCTGTTCCATAACACCCCGATTTCCTTGCTGATAGCTTTCGCATGGCCCTGGTGTGAAGGCTTCAGCTTCGAGTACTGTTCCGCGTAAAAAAAATTGTAGCCACTTAGATTTTGCCGTGGTCGAGAGTGATCTGTTAAACTTAGCTGGTATTTCTTTGGAATCTGCTTAGCATGTCCACTTGAAGTGGTAGCGCTCTGAGGTGAGTGTGTTTGCACTGGTTTATGATAGAGAGCCCCGTTCAATATCTCCGAGCCCACGTTCACTGTGATTACATACCCATCCTCAAACTTTGCATCAATTGTGCCAATAACTGAGTTGCCAACTTCAAGACTGGGAGTCCCCATTTCTAAGGAATTGAATGCTTTGCTTGTAGGGTCTGTGCAACAGAACCCAAAAAAAGGTTCAAACTTACTGATAAAAAGAAGGAAAAATGCATGCCAGTACTCCCAAAATTGCATGATTTTATATAAATACTCTGAGATTTAATGATTAATATTGATGCTCCCAGTTTTTTTGTATGTTTACATCGGTACTCCAACACTTACATATGTTTACATCAATGGCCCAACATTTGGAGCATAGATATAAACATATATGAATTCTTGGTCCAGCGATGTAAACATACAAAAATTCTGGGAGCATCAGTGTCATTTACTGTCATTTACTGAATCTCAGAGTATTTGCGCAATTCTGGGCGAAATAGTGTGAATTTTTCCTAAAAAGAAAATTCAGAGAGTTGACATTTTATAAGTCGACGTATTAAGGTACCGGGGATAGAGGAAGGCTTTTCCTTGCGGAAGTAATAGACCTGCTCAAAGTGATATAGCAGAGAGAGGTAGTGCTTTCTTAAGATGAATGACGCGCTCGTTACACAGGATGGAAGAGTGAATGCCCCAACAACGTCTTCCCATCTTCGATCTCTAATAACCTACAGGTTCCCGTGATATGACCCACAAAACTGCATTACAATATCGCCTAGTGAAGTAATTACAGCAACAATAACAACCTAGTTGGATCCTACGAGAGTAGGGTCTAGGGAGGGTGTGTACACAGACCTTACCCCTACATGAAAGTAGGGAGGCTGTTTTCGAGAGTCCCCTGGCTCAAGCAGCAAAAATAATACTCCCTCTGTCCAAAAAAAACTCCCGATTTGACTTGGCACAAAGTTTAAGAAAAGTGAAAATGTGTGGTTGAAAGTGATGCAAAAGAGAGAGTGTGTGAGCGGTGAGCCACTCAAAGTTTTCCATAAAAGGAAAAAGGAGTCTTATTTTGGGACGTCCCAAAAAGAAAATAAGGAGTCTTTTTTTGGGACGAAAGGAGTAGATAAAGCCCAAAGCACGCTAAGGCAAATAACAAATTAATGGCTATTCAACAACAATAAATTTCAATATAATCCCAACTCAATTGGGGTCTAGAGGGTGAAGATTGACACAACCTTACCACCCTCTAAAATAAACAAAGAAGCCCGAGAGGCTACTTGCATTAGACCCCTGATGCATTCCCGCATTTACTAGCCAAATTTCATATGAAATTACAAGGGAAAGAAAGTGAAATGTTCCGTTTTGATTTAGTTCATAATTTATCTGCATCGTAAACATTCTCCATAATGACTCTTTCAATTCTCAATTCGCAATTGATACAAAAAAGTGTAATTATATTTCATCGCTCTTACAGTCTTACATACACAAAATGATAGAGTTAAAATGCGGTATCATTGAGTACAATCAGATAAGTTGTATACTCCCATAGTCCAATCAGATCATGTTTTCATGTTTCTAAATTTTGTGACTCTGTAAGAATAAAAATATGCTATGACATTCTAGAATACAAATGTCCATTCCTCTCGGGTTCCATAAAAAAAATTGGAAATGAATGACATAAAGAAATACCCTGTAATACCTTTTCAATTCCGCCTCGTAAGGCAACCTCCACAAAGAGGCGATATAGGTCTAGAGGCTTTCCTGCTACATTAGGAATCCTGAAAGAATGAGAAATCTAAATGGAATTATCACATTATCATATTATAGTTATTACCATACTTTTTAAAATCATATATACTGCGAAGCAAAAACAGTAGTTTAAAGCAATGATAAAAAACTTCAATTTGAATAAGTGAAGAATCCACTATTTTCTTCCATAATACGGAGT